CAAGTTCTGCTGGGAAAAGACCAACAGGCGGTTCACTCACACTGAGGCCGATTGCAAACGCAAGAAGTCGGATAGCAAGCAGCCCACGTCTTCGGCCGGCGACGACGACTCCATGTGACAACCCACTGGCCGCACACGCACGGGGAGCATCGCATCGGTTAGTATTGGAGACGTGCACCGAACTGTAAGTTTCGATTCTCCTTTCCCTGTGCCAGACTGTCAGCATTTAGTTAGTGGCTACGAGATTTGTTTTGATCCTGCTGTGCCGAAATGTCATTATTTAGCTAGTACACGCGAGGTTTGTTTTGATCCTCCTCCGCACAAGACTTGTTTTGATACGATCCCCCCACACGTCACGGTCGGCGGCAATCCTGCACACGTTACGGACAATGTTCCTGCTACCATGTCCCTATCAGATCAGAGACGTTCCGACATGACAGCTCCAGAGTTTCTCCGTTCAGGCCGTGTTCGTGATGTTTGTTTTGATTCGCTTACTGAGAATAGTTCTTTTGACACGATCCCCTCAATCCGGGGGCCGGGCTCCCACGCCCGTCGTTGACAATGTTAATTGTGATACGATCACCCCCATTCAAGAACGCGCCGACACGCACGTTACGGACATCGGTTTCCTGACTCCGACCCTGTCGACTCGAACACGTGGTGACTCGGCAAGTGTGTGTTTTGATATGTTTTCGTCCTCTCGGGCACGTGCTGTCACGCACGTCACGGACAATGTGAGTTTTGAAACGATCCCGTCATATCGGGTCGGTGCTGCCACGCACGACCCAGACGTTCCCAGTTTTGATCAGGTCCCGTCAAATCGGGCAGGTGCTGCCACGCACGCCACGGAAGATGCGAGTCTTCATCTTGTCCCACCAACAAGGGTTTGTGCTGCCACGCACATTACAGATGTTGTGAGTTTTGCCACGGTCCCGTCGAATCGGGCATGTGCTCCCACGCACGCTACTGCTGTGAGTTTTGAAACGATCCCGTCGACCCGGGTCGATGCTGCCCCGCACGTTGTGGACATTGTGAGTTTCGATAGGAGCCCGTCAACCCGGGACTGTGCCGCCACGCACGCTACGGACGATGTGAGTTTCGTCTCGAGCTCGTCACCCCGGGGAGGTGATGCACCGAACCTCCTGGACCCTGCCTGTGTCGATATGATCCCGTCAGCTCCGGGATGTGCTTCCACGCACGTTACGGCCACTAATGAACGCGCCAATATGCCAGTCACAGAGTTCTGTCTGCTCAAGGCGCCCGGAAGTTTGAACGGGTCTGCTCCTCGAGACCTGTCACTCTACCGACTATGGCACGACAGCGTGAGTCAATCCGGCAAACCCAATTTTCAGGGCGAACGCATACCAGTCCCCACTGGACTGAACGTTGCAGCCTGGCGGCACTTCTTGCCTACTTACCCGGACACACATCTGTGCGACTTCTTAGAGTTCGGCTTCCCCGTGAACTACGTGTCTACGTCGCCGCCAGTGGTTCCGCACACAAACCATCCTTCTGCCTTACAATACGCGAGCCACGTTGACAAATATATTCAAACGGAGTTGTCTCATGGCGCCACCATCGGACCCTTGCCACCTGCCTGGTTCAGTTCTCGCTTGGTGTGTAATCCCTTGCAGACAGTTCCAAAAAAGGGCACACAAGATCGCCGAATCGTGGTCGACTTCAGCTACCCTTCCGGCACGTCAGTCAACGACGGCATTCCGACGGGCGCTTATCTGGGCGAGTCGCATCGGTTGCGGTACCCTTCGATAGATGATTTCACGGCATTGGTTGCAGCTCACGGTTCGGGTTGTTTGATGTTTAAGAGAGACTTACGCAGGGCCTACAGGCAGTTGTTCGTAGATCCCGGGGACTATCATCTCCTAGGATTCTCCTGGCGCGGAAGCCAGTACGCGGACGTGGCCCTGCCATTCGGCCTGCGCTCTTCGGCCCAAGCTTGCCAGAGAGTGACTGACGCAGTCGTGTATGTGTACGCTGACCTCGGGTTCTCGTGCGTGAACTATCTGGACGACTTGGGCGGGGCGGACTCACCCCAGCGGGCGGCCCTCGCGTACGACACACTCGGGCGACTGCTGCAAACGCTGGGCTTAACGGAAGCCGATGACAAAGCCTGCCCGCCATCTACCCGCATGACGTTTCTCGGCCGCATAGTGGACTCCGTGACCATGACCATTGAAGTGACACCCGAGCGACTCGCCGACACCCTGGCTGAGCTGCACTGCTGGTCTTCAAAGGCCAGCGCACGCCGGCAGGAGGTGGAGTCCCTACTAGGTAAACTGCATTTCCTGGCTTCATGCGTGCGTCCAGGTCGTCTCTTTGTTTCGCGTATGATCATGTTCCTCCGTCGTTATCGCGATAGGCAGCAGCGGCTGCGCATTGACACTGAGTTTCGTAAGGACTTGCACTGGTGGTCCACTTTCTTACCGTCCTACTTTAAAGGAGGCCACAACTGCCAAGAATTTGACAGCGTGTCGCTCCTCCCTCAAGCGGGCTGGTCGGAGCCCGACGCGATCTTCAGCTCTGACGCCTGTCTCTCGGGTTGCGGGGGCTTCCTTCACGAGACCGGAGAGTACTTCCACGCAGTCTTCCCCGACTCCCTACTGGAGTCTCAGCCATGCATCAACAGTCTAGAACTCTTGTCCATCCTCGTCTGCGCCCGGTTGTGGGGTAAGTGCTGGGCCGGGCGTCGGATCGTCGTCATGTGCGACAATGAAGTGTCGGTCACGGTATTGAACTCCGGCAGAAGCCGCGCCCCCTTCCTGCAGTCCTGTTTGCCGAATCTGTGGTTGTGCGCCGCCAACGGAGACTTCGAACTCAGAGCTATCCACATACCCGGGTTGGCCAACCGCATCGCCGATCACCTTAGCCGCTGGTCGTCGTCTCAGTACCACCAGCTGGAATTTGATCGTTTGACGGCCGGGCAAAGCACTGCTAGAGCAGACGTGTCTCCTTCCCACTTCGAGCTCCTGACGCACCTGTAACGACGGTCAGCTCAAACAGCACCGTTCTGCAAGCCCATGCCTGTACCCGAGGGCCGCGTTCATCCATGCGTGCACCTTGACATAGGCCAGAGACACACACGGACTCTTACCTGTTACCAGACTATCCCCGCCTATCTAGGCATGTTGATGTTATTGTTAATATAGGACGTAGTTTGTTCTTTTTAGGCTAGACGTGTTTGGATTGTTTTCCTATTGTTCCTTTCTGTAGCACTTAGCGATATTGGGCCAGACGTGTTCGGATTGTTTTGCTATTGTTACCTTTCCGTAGCACTCAGTGACATTTAGGCCAGACGTGTTTAGATTGTTTTTTTTTATCGTTACCTTTCCGTAGCACTCAGCGATATTTCGACTAGACGTGTTTGGATTGTTTTTATATTGTTCCCTTTCGTACCACTTAGCAATAGCCCGTTTTAGGCTGGTCCATATACCTGCTCCGCCCTCGTACGCCCACTACTCCCTCTCGTCTGCACTCTCCACCCACTCCTTACCCTCCGGGCTTGGTCTTGGTGATTTTACACTTTCTGATTTTCATTCTCTCTCTGACATTAAAGTTTTTCTGTACCAAGCCCGAGCAGTCGCTTCCATTCATTGTGTAAGAGTGCAGATAATAGGGATTATTTGGGCGACAGCTCAAATCAGTTTATTAGCTGCCGCTGAACCTTGACCTGCGCGTCATCACCATCACGTGACTTCATAACATCTCTAGTAGCATTGTCGAGGTGTGCTGTGTGGTGTGCTAAACAGAGAGTTTCGCCCTCCCACCCACCCGTGATTTTACACTTTCTGATTTTCATTCTCTCTCTGACATTAAAGTTTTTCTGTACCAAGCCCGAGCAGTCGCTTCCATTCATTGTGTAAGAGTGCAGATAATAAGTGACCACTTGACCGCGCCATTATTTAGTAAGGGGAGTGAACTCTTTTTGCTAACATTTGTAGCCTGTCTGCTGAAAAGAAATAATTACCGTCTCCTCATAAACTAATTCCCCGAGGGATAAACAACAAAATACGAACCATGTCAATACAAGTGAAGTTTGAGTGGAAGAACAGAAAACATAATTCACGCCACCCTCACTGTAGACATGCCAGTAATCGGTGGTCATAAGAAATGACCAGGTCTTATGGCACCATACACACCTCTGGCCCGGTCATTTGACCCATAGTTATTTATGATTATTGCCTGAAAACAGTTTTTAAGGATAATCATTGCTATATATATGAAAAGCACAAAGAATGACAATAAGTTGTGACCAGGTTTCATGATTTTCTCCACACGAAATGAATCATGCATGAAAACAGTAACACTTATGAGCCTGGCTCGTTTTTTTTTGCATTTTTCACAGCTATAACCTCAAACAAAATGTGAGCATACATGTTGCAAAAAGCAACTGTTGGAATAAGAAGATGAAACTTACATTGGTCTCCACCGTTGACTTCAGGTTGATAAACTGCAGGGATGAGATGTCATCAAGTCGGGATACCAGACTCTGAGGCAGTTCAAGCATGCTCATTTGCTGAGCCACAACTTCAGGGAAAATGGGTAAATTGTTAAATGTTTTACTACAATATCTACTACAAGGAGAAAGGAACTTAATGTTATGTGTTATACAATCAATAGACTCAAACAATCGTGCACAGTTTTGCTTGGAGATCGCTGTGAAACAAATGAAATCAAAGTCAAACCTGCCCAAGAAGGCCACACAGGCGTCTATGGTAAAGTGGTCTCCTTAGGCAGGTCATCTAGTGCTTGCCCGTAGGGAAAAGTAAAAAAACAAAATTTCAGGACTAAGAAAAGGTGGTAGTTATGAAGAAGGCTGCATAGGTAGGTATGCCTGTACATGGAGATATAGGTAGTGGACAATTCAATATACATAATTTAAATTATATAAACGTATACTTTGAGACAGAAGTGTTGAAAGAACAGAAACACTCCATTATACTTGCTTCACATACCAACTTGTCCTCTGAACTGAACCTCAGCTACAGCAGCCTGGGAGCCACTCTGCCTGTCCAAAGGCATCACCAGCCTCCAGTACCTTCCAGTTGCACGGAAACCTACAGGAAGGACAACACTGTATCACATGAGTCAAGTAACGATAAAAACAAAATTAAGGTCCTAAAGTAGACCGGGCTGCCATGGCAAAATGGGGAAAAAGATTACTATGACTTCAGTTGGTAAAAAGTCACCCAGCTGCAAAAATGATAATAATAAGCCTGTTTCACTACAAAAAAAGTAGCCAACATTGATAAATTTCTCAAAATGTTGTAAAAGATTTTGATTCGGTCGAGTGGTCACTTCAAATCAAGACAACAAAAGTTTACAAGTTTTTCAAGAAAGGGTTTGATGCTTTTCCCTAGTTTTGGTACTAGATTAGCAGATTGCATGCTCTCTATTCAATGTCATAATCAGATACTCTAATATTAAAAGTTGAATATTACATGCCTCTGAATTCCCACGTCCAAGACCTTTGTTCTCGTGATATGAAGAAGGTCCTTGCGTCTGTCCAGATGACTCCATCAGCAGTTGTCATCCCATACTGCAGTATCCACAGCTGGAAACTGATGTCAGTGGAACCTCCAGACAAGGCTGGTATAGTAAGCGATAGCCTGTCCAGCTGGTAGTGCTAGCAAATGGGGAAAAGATAAAATCACATCAAAGCACATTTAGACATGGCTGCATCACTGTTTTGTTTTGTCAATCTTTAATGATAATGACCGTACAAATGAAATGGTAAAATAGAAACAATCCAATCTGTTGGCTCGCGGGTTTCATTAAAAACATGTAAAGAAACAGGGCATTTTTAAAAGAAATTCTATGACACAATGTACACAATGTACTGTACAGAAGATGCATTGGTTTGTTTAAAATCATGATCTATGAACTGGTATGGACATATGTTTTAATATATAAGTGAAAAAAATCACTGCAATGATAGAATGTACACAACCACACATAAACTTCAGTAGTATCCCTTGAATAACTAAGAAGTATAAAATGAAAATCATTAAAATCCACCATTAGGGGAAAATTATGAAAGGGCGATTCCAAGAGCCAATCGATTAAATTGGTATGGTCTTACATCCTAATGAAAATACGAGCTATATTATATTATATTATATTATATTATATTATATTATATTATATTATATTATATACTTCTTGCAGATCCAATTCCAGGTAGAAAGATCCTGTGGCTCTAGCAGACACCAGACGGACTGGGTCTGGCTCCCAGTAGCTGGCATTGTTCCCATCAATGGTCAGGTTGGCTTCACCACCCACAGAACTGACCACTGCCCAACCACCGGTGTCCAACCAGGTTGGGCCATCTACTGACTGCAAAGCTGGAGGCGAGCAAAGATACAGGAAAAAATAGTTCAGAGATCTCATTCCTTCATGAAATATTTCCTAGGACTATGTATTTGTAAACGTTTATGTCTTATTTTGTCTCATTGATTATGGAAATTAATTGTAATTACTAGCACAATCTATTTCAATTGATTGCCTTCTTTATAAAAATTATATATATTTACGATTTGTGAAAAGTCCTATCAGGCAGCGGTATTCTATTTTAAGATTTTCATCGCTAATTATGCAACTGACATGATGAACAGTACACATAACGTGTATGCAGAGCAATGGTCACTTTCAACTAAGTTAAACCTACACATATAACAAGTATGAAATTCTCATTTTTGTCACAAAAGAATCCTGGCATTTCCTTATTTGTGGACAGCTATTGCACAATTCCCTATTTAAAAACATCTAGTGCACCTGTTAATGTTCCATCTGCTGTACATTATATTGTCCTATTGATGTAATACAACAAATTAGAGTATTTCCTCATTTTTTTATAATGTTTATTTAATTAATACATATGTATCTATGCTACACAACGCCACATAATCCTTCAATGGCATGCATGACAATTCATGATTGTTCCTTTCTGGACGTATCCTCTTTTTATGGTTTTGACCAAAAAAACTTCCTTTTTTTTGCATTTTATCAGTTAAACAGTTGGTGCAACAACGCAAAAAACGATGTAACAACGGACCATTCTGTCATTCTGTCTAGATATGCCTATCTATTAAATGTCGCTAGATGGTACTGTTGATATGTCAAACTGCATGCTGCAATTTCACTAGATGTCGCTGTTCATATGTGGGTGTAGCAGAATGTTTCCAAAGGTAAGCCATGTTTTAAAATATCTTTGCTCGGTACAAAATATCAGCAATTGTAAGAGTATTAGGCATGGATTAGAGAAACACAGTATAGCTTAAAGAAGTATGAGCAAGAGCAATCAATAACATTGTGCTTTTACTGGCTGTTTAACACATAATCAGACTGAACATATGTAACGGCTGTCGCCGCCTCCTCCCTTTAATTTCATAAAAACATTGAGTGTGCTTTTCATTGTAACATTGAACAATAACAACTTGTGACATTTCTTTATAGCAGTTAATTCTTAGTGACATACCAAATTAAACATCAAGGGTAACATTACTTCCACAACCTTTACCTCAAAACCGGAGAAAAAAACTTTCACAAACATAAATCGCGCTAAAATGCCAGCTGTTTGAAAAGTGTTTGTTTCAGTTGAGTAATAAGCTAGGAGGCCACTAATTATTCCAGACATTAACGAAACTGCTGACAAAAAAAATCGACGAATATGGCATGTCCAGGATCATATGGACGAAATGGGAAATTCTAATTCAGTACCAAGGACAGCTGCCAGGAGGCCCATAACTGATCTTAACCTATCTTCTCAAGATTTACCCACCTATCAAATATCAAAACATTCTATGCTGATGAAAACACACACAAAAACAACACCTTTATTTTCATGCAAGTATTATACATTTGAAAGAGAAAGGAATAGAGTTTATTCTTGCAGATTGTTTCTCTCCAACAAAGGTTGTGGGTTAATCTCAGCATAAAATATTCAAGTGATCTACAAGGATCTATAAACAGAGAAGACAATCAACTGTTACATAACCAATGGTATACAAACACATGTAGGTGTAAGACATCAAGCTTTTTTACATACCATAGCTACCATACGTAGCCTTTTTCTTACAAGTGAGAACTAAAACCAATACAATAAAATGTGTGATGTCAAAAGTTAACATAATGCAGCAGACAATTAACTGTTACACACGATGGTATACAAATTGGGGAGTGTGCCTTCAGGCTGTTTTTAATCGTCTTGCCACTGAGAGCTGCACACAAACAACACCAGTCCTCACCACTTTGCGGTAATAAAAGATATTTTCTCTCGCTTGGTAGGAACATCCAGGTGAATTTTAAAGGTAAGCATTCCCTATTGTACCGTCATCAAACTATATATAGGAATTCAGAAGAACATTTTTCATGATAACTACCTTTTTTATCAGGTTGGAGCGCTAACGCAGAAACAAAAATTGTGTACTTATGACCAAAACGATTTAGTTACCATGACGTTTTAAGACCGTTAAAAATGAGCAAATTATATATGACTTTATCGTGGTTATCATAAAAATTGTTTTCCAATTAGAAACACACATTTTTACTTTAATTTATGACTTAAAAACAGCGAATGGCAGATTGCGGTCATTCCAAAAGATGGAATTGGCTTAATAAATGTGTAATTTGGTTATCTGTCGTAGTTAGCATGCTGTTTTGCAGTGGTAAGTTCTGTCTTGCGTAATTGAGCAAACTGTATACATGTAACGGTTGATCATCTCACCAGATTGGCCTCCCTTCTCTTTTCAAAAAGTGTGATGGTATTTTTGACATGGTTGTGATGTTAAAAACGGGAGCTCTGACATTACGACTGTCCACAAATGTCTTCCCTAACCAGGGATATGTACTAATTTTCACGTGAGTCAGGTGGTTAGATAGGTTTGCACAACACAACACAACACAACACAACACAATACTCGGGCCTGCTACGGGTTGGCCTTGAAGTGCACAAGAGAACATTAATATTCATGCTTCCTCAGTCCCCGTCCCGTAAACACACCAGCAGATGTATATCTCGGTTACACAAAAATCTAAATTAACACCCAGCTTTATCTTTTCGCATGATAAAATCGACGTTTTCAACAGTTACACATATTAAGATTAAGCAGCTTATTTTGAAAAGATTATGGAACGGCCAGCCTAATTTTTTTGGTATCATCAAGACCTATCTACATACCAAATACTATTACGATTCTGCTGCTTACAGACATACACACAGAGACAAGACTATTATTCGCCAGACCCTTCTTGGCGAAGGCAAAAGGGCAGCAAGCTTTATTTTGACAGGTTTTCTTCTACCCAAAAAAGGTGTTTGTTAATCCCAGCACTAAGTAGCTTACACAATCAATATATTAGGTTCAATAAACAGAGCAGACAATAAAATGTTTCACAACTACTGGTATGTAAATACTATTGAAAGACTTCAAGCTGTTTTTGTATTACCATACAGGTTTTAGAACTGAGAGAACATAAAAGGTATAGCAATAAATGCCAAAACAATATGAAACTCTGTGATGTCAGGCGTTAACGTAATATAGCAGACAATCAACTGTTACACAACCAATGGTACATCATACACGTGCATGCCTTTCTGCCGAGAGCTGTACGCAAACAGCTCTGTACGCAACCTGCAATATAAGATATGCCGTCTCGCGTGGAAGAAATCTGGATAAATTTCAGAGGTAAGCCTTATTGCCATGATACTGATCATCGTGACAAGCACCAAAATATAACATACATAATAGAGGTTTTTCACGGGCGTTATATTCAAACCAAATCTTACAACACTGATACATTTAGCTTGTATATTCTGATACACATTGAGCTAAGATGACCTCCAAAATACGAACTGACTTGACAAAATGACTTGAATATTCTGTAGAAATCTAGTTAATCATACCATTCTGCAGTTATAAGTCCAGCGTTGTGTGTACTGTAACCATTCTGTGTTAGATTTTTTTTATTCGGAAGAAATCGAGGAGGAGTAGATAGACTACTATTGTAGCTAAATGAAGGGCATTTAATCAAACATCATCAAACTTAACGATACAAAATTTGTGAGTTCTAGATCAAAATATGATACAAAATTTGAGTTCTGGATCATATTATGAAAAGACTAGGATTGGTGTGGGCTTGAAGACCAGATAGCACCAATGACAACAGTTGCTGCGAATCTCTGAGAATAATTAAACTCGAAATGTATTACATAATATTTGCTTCTGGAAACAAAGTTCGATCAGTGACGAGCAGTGGTGCCAGGTTCTGAACCGACGGCCATGCTTACCGTGGCATCATTGGCATTTGATTCAATGAACTGAAATTTAAAAACGGATGTTCCTTACATATTAACACCAGAAGAGGATTTCAGTTCAAACATCTTTGTTCATTAAATAATACCCAGCACGTTTGGCTGTTTTTAGAGATTGTTATATTTCTGTGTTTTTTGGTATCATCTGCATATATAATCAATATAATATAATATAATATAATGAACCCACCCGATTATAATGATGATAACGTTTGGCCGTTTTTAGAGATTGCTGTATTTCTGTGTTTTTTGGTATCATCTGCATATATAATCAATATAATATAATATAATATAATATAATATAATATAATATGATGTAATATAATATAATATAATATAATATAGGGAACCCACCCGATGATAATGATGATAATATGATAATGTACACAGAACATTTTTTTCAAAAGACAGGATTTAGCCTTTTCTAGTGCTACATATATTTTCTTTATGACTCACATGTACACATGTACATGTACGTATTATAACCATATCTGTCATCAGTCTTGTGCCTGTGCAGAGCTTGACAACAGCATGAATAAAGAACAAGCAGGCGTGATGACATTCCTTCTGGTCATCCTGAAGGTGTTTGGACCAACAGAAGCTTCCTGTAGTACTATGTATAACTGCAAATATGACAGGCTGGAACTCACTACCATCCCGCAGAACCTACCGACTGAAGTACTACACTTGTCTTTAAAACATAATCTGATCAATACTTTAGATGAGCTCGATTTCTCAAAGTACAACTTGGATTTTTTAGATTTAAGTAACAATCGTATAAGGACGATCAAAACGAAGGCATTCCATTCCTTGTCACGCTTGATGAGGTTACATCTTGATCATAACAAACTAACAAGCCTGAATCCTAACATGTTTATCGGGTTAGCAAGTTTGATACGCCTTAAGGTATGTTGCAATGACATCAATGATGTTCAGGCCGGAACCTTTAATTCAATGTTGCAACTAAAAACCTTGTACCTGAATCGCAACAACCTAACAAATCTTACAGATAACATGTTTGCAGGTTTAAAAAATTTGGAATTCCTTGATCTATCAAATAATGAAATCAATGACATTCATACTGGAACTTTCAATCTAACTTCAAAGCTTAAAACTTTGAACCTGGGTGGCCCTCAGAACAAACTACAAAGCCTCAGACCTGGGATGTTTACAGGGTTGGGTAACCTAGAAACACTAGATCTACAAATGAATGCCATCGATGACATTCAGATTGGAACATTTCTTCCAGTACCACAGCTAAAAATATTGATACTAACTTCCAACAAGCTAACAAGGCTTATATCAAACATGTTTACAGCGTTAAGAAACTTACAGGAACTTCATTTAGGATCTAATAACATCCATGATATTCAAACTGGAACACTCACAGGCATAGCAAGTCTGTCTCTGCTAGATTTAGAAGGCAACAAAATCAAATCATTGCCCATGATAACTCATAAAAAGCTGTCATCGTTGTCTAATGTTAACATTGATAAGAACCCCTGGCAGTGTGACTGTACGATGCTTCCCTTCAGGACACAAATGACCGGAACTCGACGTGTGTTTGAAAACCAGATATTGTGTTCCCAACCTGCCAAATTCATCGGAAGATATCTTAGAGACATTGACCTTGAAGATCTTGTCTGTGAACCAAACATTGTGAGATTTAAGGGAAACAAACACGATAACAGGTCTACCCAGGGGCAGAGTCTGGTGTGTGAAGCTTCAGGTTTCCCCACACCAAACATTACAGTGACCTTCCCATCTGGACTGAACAAAACAGTACAGTCAGGGGGGAGGGTGACTGTAAGTACCAACGGTACCGTCACTATAGACGTTACTGCAGATGATTCTGGTTTGTACGTTTGTACTGCAACAAGTACAGCTGGCAATTCAATTGCCACAATGTCTGTGTATGTCCACAAGGAAAACCCCACAACGTTAACATTAGAAACAGAGCCGAACAATTCCACAAATCTTACATTAGAACCGGAGCTCGACAAGTTCATAACGTTTACATTAGAACCTGCCTTAACATCTTCACCACGTTTTACTATCATCAGAATTTCATCCGGTCAAGAATGCAACAGCAGTGAGGAGTCTGCTCTTAGTTTCTCCGTAACTGTTCATGTTATTTGTGTGATAGTAGGCACTGGCCTCATTGGTGTTATCATTCTCGTTATCAAAGGGTACATAAGAAGGACCAAGAACCCCCCTTCATATCCAGACCCCCAAAACAACACATCTGTAACAGCTAGTCAAGATCAGACAGCATTGAGTGAGGGTATCAGAACATCCTCCATAAACCCACAATATGAGTGTACTGTTTCAGAGAATACATATGAAGATATGAATAGTTTGTCACCAACAGGCTCTACAGAACGAAAAACAGCTACAAACAACAAAGCTAACGTAACAGCCAGCCAAGATCAGAC